TCTTACTCTGGGATTGTATGTAAAAAGAACTCTTGACAACTGCTTATATGAGAGAATTGCTGCCATCTCACCCAATATATTATTTTGCTCGCTGAAATTACTGCTCTCTTTTTAATGAAAGATAAACATTTTGATTAATTGTTCTTCAGTACATACTGCGTAGTAGATTATAATGAATTTGTAACTGTCTGTGCCTTGTTATGTTGATAATTACGATGACAGAAATACAGTTGAAATACACGCGAGCCCCTTTGATCTCAATTTGCAATTCTAAATGGATGTGTTGAACTAGAATGCTCATGGAATAATGAAATGTTTCTCTGGCAACTTTTCAGACTATCCAGATAAGGCTACAGCTTTCCACTCAGTTGAATTCTAGTTAAAATGTCTGAGAGAATATGGGACATAGCACTTGCCACTAATCTAAGAGCAAAGCACTCAGCCAGATTTGAAAAAAATAATTTTCTCTCATATATACATATATATATATATATATATACACTTACTTTCAAGTAGAATGGCATAAGATTATGCTGATGCCATCTGGGCAGAGAGGCAACTTCTATAAATGAAGTGGTATTCATTTATAGAAGTTGCCTCTCTGCCCAGATGGCATCAGTATAATCTTATGCCATTCTACTTGAATGTAAGTCCCACTGTATTCAAGGAAGCTTACTCCTCAGTATTTATACATTGGGTTGCAGTCTTAAAATATTTATAAACAGTAATACAATTCAATTACACTATAAGCCAGAGATCAGTTAGTGCGTGGCAAGTCTTCTGCTCTCTCTCTCTCTCTCTCTCTCTCTCTCTCTCTGTGTGTGTTCTACATATAAATGAAGAACAAAGAAACAGTGGGGTCACTCAGAGGAGAAGATGGTGAAATGCAAACAGGGGACACAGAAAGGGCTGAACTCCTCAATGCCTTCTTTGCCTCAGTCTTCTCCGATAAAGAAAACAATGCCCGACCTGAAGAATTTGGAGCAAATGATTCAGCAAAGGAAACACAGCCCAGAATAACTAAGGAGATAGTACAAGAATACTTGGCTAGTTTAGATGTATTCAAGTCTCCAGGGCCAGATGAACTGCATCCAAGAGTATTAAAAGAACTGGCAGATGTGATCTCAGAACCACTGGCAGTCATCTTTGAGAATTCCTGGAGAACAGGCGAAGTCCCAACAGACTGGAGGAGGGCAAATGTTGTCCCTATTTTCAAAAAGGGGAAAAGCATGCAAGCCATGAAAGAGAGAAGGGTTTGTGCTCAGGCTCTCTTCCTGTTCCCCACTTTCCTCTCCATTATCTTCCAGACGTTGGGGCAGGGCCATCTGCAGCACAGAGTTGCTCTACTTGTCTAGGCTGCTTGTTTTAGAACCTTGATTTACCCAAGTTCTGGTAAATTTCTCTTTCTTCACAGACTATTAATGTGTAGAAGAGAGCTGTGGAGCTTACACCACATTTTACGAGATTCACACTTTGTTAGGGAATATCTTTGCAATACAAGGCAAACACTGCTCCCCTACCCCCAATTTTTATATTCACACAGAAATCACATTAAAATGAGACAAAGGCAAACAACCAGAGGAACCAGTTCTATGTCAAGATAAAGCACATGGGATTTTGCTTTTAGAGAACGTACATGAAACATATTTTAGCTGGTTAAAAACATCCTTTCCACACCTGTATTTATATATGTTCACAGCTGAGCAGATTTTATTTCCACTCACTCCCACAAAAACGTTCTTAACTGGGCAGATGATAAATGAGAAAATGGTGTATATATGAAGTAGCATATTCTGGAAGAAAAAGCTATAAATGCCAGAAAACAGAATCTGATAAAAGAGAGAAAGAGAGAGAGAGAGAGAGAGAGAGAGAGAGTGAGAGAGAGAGAGAGATTTCAATCACACCGTAGCTACTGCTTGTGACACACTATGAACTGCAAATGTTATTAACTTGTTTCAATAGACTGCATAAGCAATTCTGTTAACCTTTGGTGCCGAAGGCCAGGAGGAATGCGGTCTTTAGAAACTGTTCCAAACAAACAAAAACAACCCAATTTTACAAGAGATACCAGGCTTGAATGTAACAGATAGTTGAAACTTTGCATCTTTAAGTAGGGCTGTGTATACATTACCAGCTTGAAATGCAGCTACGTAATTCTTTTTCTCAGATTGGATCGGAGCTGGTTTGTGGAGAAAGCTATCAAAACACTGCATTTCATGAGAAACAGCAGGATGGATACAGGATGCATATGGATTGTAGCTTAAGTCATGTGTACGCCACTTCCCAGGCCAATAGTGGAGGTACTGTAAAAGGGAATGCGTACCTAATTCAGTCCCTGGAATCTGTGGTTGAGATAATAATAATAATAATAATAATAATAATAATAATAATAATAATTTATTACTTATACCCCACCCATCTGGCTGCGTCTCCCCAGCCACTCTGGGCAGCTTCCAACAGGAGATTTGAAATACATTAAAACATCAGTCATTAAAAAAGTTCCCTAAACAGGGAAGATCACAAACAGCAATATAAAGCTATAGCTGACAAAAAAGTAAGATCCACTTCTAGTCAAGAGTCTATGATGAGGACTCAGCTTTCCAAGCTTGTAGTACCAGATGTTTAGCAATAGTACAGCACACCAGACCAGACTTTCTGCAAACCACTTAAAGCCCACATTATAGGAATTAGGGTTTGTTCCCACCCACCCACCCACACCCCAATTGTTGCTTTATAGTAGCAGAAAGCATGCCTGCATTCAGAAGCTCCCAGTCTTGCACCAGTTTCCCCTGACAACTGCGGGACTTCATGCCATATATCACAACTGTCCCCCAAAGTCTTGGGGCAGCTGCCATGGTATGTGGGTGGCTTTCCACCTTGTGAAAGCGTAGATCATAGAATTATAGAGTCGGTAGGAACCCTAAGTATCATCTAATCCAACCTGCTGCAATGCAGGAATATGTAGCTGTTCCATACAGGGATTGAACCTGCACCACACTCTAACCAACTTCAGAGACTGGAAAAATATTGCTGTTCAGGTGCTGGTACTGCAGTTCACATTTTCCCTGGCTATTGACCATGCTGGCTAGGAGTGAAGGGAGCTGCATCCCAACAACATCTGGAAGGCCCCAGGTTCCCCATTCTTGCTCTAGTGCAAAGGTCTCACTGGAAACAGCCCCAAGTCAATTATTCCATTTTTTAAATTCCAAAGAATGAGCAGAGCTCACAGTAAAATTATTTTGCTGTCCAGACATTTTCCCAGAACCCTTCAGAAACATAACATGTGTCAGAAACGAGACAGGATACTAATTGTTAACAGCTACTGGACTCCTCCTGCACATCTGCCTCAAAAAACGACACTTCTCTTTTCTGTTGGCTATTAATACTCATTTACTTGCATGAGGCTCTGACAATCATATCCAGTTATTATTTGATCTGATGGCTCATTGGACCCTAAGGGACCATTCCATTTTGCTCTTTCAAGGATGCAAGAGCTATGTCACATTTCAAGGCTACAGTTTTACTTGCATTCACTTAGCGAGGAACATAAAAGACGAATTCAAAGGAACCAAGAAAATCATTTTGTATAATGAGCAGTTTAGGAGTTTGAAACAATAATCTCCATTATTCCACACAATTAGATAGCAGCATCTCTGTTAAACTACTGATAAGCCACCTAGATGCACACACTGCAGATCTTGCCAATTTCCTCTTAACAAAGTTTAGCTGACATGGCTCATATTCTGCATAGTGCAAAAAGGTCAGCGCAGCAGTATGTCTGGTAATGCTGGGCTTCCTTGAGTTATTATTAGTATTATTTTGCTTCTGACTGGAAAAGAATGCAAATGCAAGGCATAAAGATATATAAAGACATACAGGCTGAGTTCATACATCTCTGCTCAGAATTCCCACTATCTTTATGTACATCAAGTCTACATTGGATTTCAGCCTTAATGCAGCAAGTACATTTATGAGCCTGTAGCATGGAAGTGGGGGGCAGGATTTGACTGGTGGGCCAACTCCTGGCTTCCTCCACCACATGGGCCATTTTGACTGCCAGGCAGGACTGCCTATTGGCCTGGTGTCACAATGACATCAGCTGACATCTGCCTTTGTGGGTGTGGCTTGAACCATGCTTGCAGAGAAACATCCTTTCATCACCCATTTCAGCTGAAGCTGGTGAAGAAAGGAATATTTGCCTATTTGCTCTATGTGCGGAGTGGGTGGGCATAGTTTGTGGGGCAAATCTGGACCCATGCAAGGCCAGTGGTTTCCTACCCTGCACAGCTTCACTTCAGGAGAAGCAAATGCAATATTTCTGTTTTTAAAGAGAGATTCACCAAAACTTCTTGATCCATTGCCTCAGCTCAGCCAGTCCATCTCAGTAGCCTTATTGTCTAAAGTGCAATACATTAGAGTCATTAAAACCATTCAGAGATAAATTACTTAATATGTAGTGTTATTTCCCCGTCCCTATAGATCAGTTTGAACATGGCTCCTTGATCTGTTGTCTCTTTGTGTAACATTCTCTACTGTCCTTTTCAAACCTTTGATGGGTTCTAAACCTGTGGAGGCCACTAGGCAGTTGAAATCTTCCCTCCCCCCACATTATTTCCTGATCCCTTTTTAATTTTCTTTCAAGATGAAATCAATATTATTTTGATCTGTTGTCGCGGGGCCCCTAGGAGGCGTTGGGCCTATAGGCCGGTGCTTACTCTGTCTATTTGGTAATCCAACACTGTTCTCAACACATCTTCCACATTAAATGTCCATAATGGCTACACTGCTCTTGAACTTGATTGCTACAAATGCTTTGGTGAACTTTAGCCAAGTCACATTAAGAGGAGATCCAATGATTTCAATGAGACAGCTCTGCATATAACTAATGTCGGATATCATCCATACTTCAATGTTTCTTTCATTCAAAAGAACTTTTATTCTGTTTTTATTTCCCCTCTGAAGGACAGAATAGTCCAACCCCCTGCAATGCAGGAAACTTTTGCCCAATGAGGGACTCAAACCCACAACCCTGAGATTAAGAATCGTGTGCTCTACCAATTGAGCTACCTATGCTTCAGCAGAGAAAGTGTGTGTGCACGTGTGTGTGCGTGCAAATGAATGAGGGTGAATGAATACATTTGCACATGGCTATGTGTTTTGCCTCCAGCTATAAAGTAGAACTTGTTTCTGATTAGGCATTTGTAGGGTTGCACTGTGAATAACAACATTTGCAAACAGTCTAATTCTGGGGAGGAAAGTGATAGCCATGTTTGACTGAGGAAACAGCCCTCACATGTGAAGAGGACAAGCTCTGCAGATAGGTAGGGGGAAGATGAAAAGAAAATAGAGGAGGCATAGGCTCTGGGTAGGGGGGGCCCTGGGTGCTCCCTATGAAGGGGCCAAGGACCCACATTTTTTTTGCACCAGGGCTGCACACACGACAGGAGCTTCCGTCGGCATGCACGGCTTATGTCAGCACACCCACTGACGTTCACGTGTGACCCACGGTCCTTGGGCTAAGCTGGCAGGCCTGAATGGAGGAGTACAAAAACAGCAACTTAAAAACTGTTTGGCCAGACAAATGAGTTTGTGCACACCATGAGCAGCAATGACTCTATCTATCATGCAACTTCCAACTCCAGAAATGAAACCCCTGCCCCACCAGCTTCACTTCCCGGTTGTAATTAAGACACTCAGTAGCATAAATTTGCAAAACTATGGGCTATATACACACATGCTTCATGCTAATTGATCTCATTACTGGAAATTATGTTCTTATTTCAAACAATAATTTCAATACCAAGGAATTGCATGTTGTTCCATCCCTAAAAAGAGGCATCACAAAATATTGTACTGTCTACGCTTATGCAAACTGAATATAGCTTATCTGCACAAAAAACCTTCATTATTGTATGAATTCCTTTGTTCACTGTATATTTGGCCCACTGTCCTTTTATTGTTCCTTTCCCTTTGTGATGGGCACCTGATGGTGGAGATCATGTTTATATACTGCCTATTTCGTACACAATGCAACATTACCACTAAATGTATTGGAGAGCTGTTTGGCTTCTAGAAGTTGTTGAACTTGCATTGCTGAACAACTGCTCTAGCCTTTGCACCCAAACATTTCCAACTTTTATTTCAGAGTACAGAAGCAGGCTGTTAGTGTAATTAAAGAACAGTACACTCTGCACGTCTATACAGGGTATGACTTGCAAAATTGTAAGATTTACCTTGCTGCAGTTAGCAGCTGCCTTATAGTTTACTTGATATGGTACCGTGAGACATCAGCTTTGGCAAACAGCTTTGATTGATATTAAGTCATATGCACTTTACAGAAAATGTAAACACCGCATATGACCTGCTGAATGACTTGCAGGCAGATCAATAAGCAATGGAGTTAATTAGCTCCTTGTGCAATATACTTTTTTATTATGCTGACTTATTAATATTTAACAATCCTGCTGCTTCCGCTTGGTTTTGGTTTTGCTTGTGCAGGATTCTACCGGCAGCATACTTGGAAATAAATGCACAAAAATATACGCACAATTTTCCTCCCACTGACTAAAGCACAGAGATTTTAAAGTATTCTTTTGCTGTGTGAAATGGACTCCATTTTCTGCCTGTCCAAAATTATTCACATTGTAGTTCCAGTGGAGAAAAAACACAATCCAGTCAAAACTAAGTATGTGTTTAACAGCCTCATTGACATCAATGTGACTTCAATTGTTTATTGTGCCCACAGTGTTTCCAGATGTCTCGGTTATGCTCAACCTATCAGTCCCTGTTTATTTTTCCCACTATACCTTTAAGCCGAGGTTTTTCAGAACTTTAATTATTTGTCTTTAATTTAAAGTGATCTAAAATGCCAAAATGATTTAAAGTGCCAATTACAGTTCAGCATAACATTATTTTAAACTTTTAGAATTCCTTCTGCATCCCAGTAGTGTAACAATTATTTCAATCCGCACAGTGGTGCAGTTGGACTAAAGTCCAATGCATCTCCCAGAATGATGGAGGTGATGGGGGCAGTGACAACACACACCTAGGTCAGCCTGGCTGGGCCATGGCCCACTGAAAAGGTCACTGGCTGTTGCAGCATCTTTTCCTTCTTATTTTATAGTCATGGAGTGGCAGGCTGCATATATACAGCAGCAGATGCTCATTTTATGACTTCCATAATAACTGTTGCTGCAAAAAGATGGTGCTTATATCCAAATAAGCGTTGTTAGCATCAGGGGAGAGGAAGCAAACACTCTGGCCAATATCCAAGGTAGCCCAAGCGGCTATTTGCTTATGCAACAGGGCTTCTCTCCCCACCAACCACAAATCTCCTCTAAAGGAAGGAGAAGAGAAACTAGAAGTCCCATTGCAATGGTGGATTTGTGTTGCAAAGGTGGGTGGGCATTATTGGAGTCAGTGGTGGTGTAGTGGTTAGAGTGCCAGACTAGGGCCTGGGAAACTGGGGTTCAAGTCCTCACTCAATTCACTGGGTGACCTTGGGCCAGTTGTCATTGTCTCTCAGCCTAACCTACCTCACAGGGCTGTTGTGAAAATAGAAGGGGAAGCCCTTGTCCTACCTGGAGCTCCTTGGGCAAATAGCAGGAAATAAATGCTATAAATAAATAAACATTGCATGCTGCTTATTGATTATTTCTTACCAGTACAGCTGCTGTGAAAATGGCTGCATTTTTTCCAGGCACAGAATACCTGAAACTGAAACATATTGAAAGGTGTGATTTCCAGGGTCCTTATAACAACAAGAGTGGCTCCGCTATTAATGTCATCCTCTTAGGCCTGGTGCCGGATTCACACAATTACAGGAACGAGCTGAAAAAGGTCAACAAGGCTGACCATGATATTTAAGAGTTACGGCAAGGAACCGCTTTGGTATGCAGAGTGTGCATTAGTTACTGATGGAGGCTGTTTTCCTGCCTTTGTGGTTTTGCCATTTATTTCATCTAAATGTATTGCATTTTGTTGATCGCTGAAAAATTGAGCGCACTTGGTCATTATTTAACATATGCAGTGCTTTGTTGTGTTATACACAGAGCCCACTGTTCTCTTAATTAATCCAATCATAAGGCTTATAATGTTGATATTGCATGTTATGTAATTTGTTTGTTGACCCACTTCATGGTACTGGCATTAAGTTTTAAAGCTCTAAAGTTTACATACACAGAGGCCAGAGTAATTAAGATTTGCTTTCCACCCCCGTATGAAATTGCACAGGAGCTATGATTTACCCGTGAGGCTTGGCCCCTGTCCTCTGCCATTCCCATTAGTTGTATGTCACAAACCACATATTTTTTACTGGTGTGCTCAGAATTTGGAATAGTCCCCAAGAGAGGTCCACTTGGTCCTTTTGCTGGCTTTCTCAGTTGCTGGTGCTTCTGAATGAAATATCCCTGCTTTCATTTCTTACCTTTGATTAGGCTTTCCTTTACTGATCTGCTTTTTGGTTCCATCTCAGTGATGTATCCTGGGATCTTGCTTTCTTTATATCCTTGCATATTTTTATTAGCTTAGAATGTTAGCCACCTTGATTTCTAAACTAGAGAGGTGCTGCTTATATAGCCTGAACCTGGCAGCAAGTCAGTACTGCATGTTAAGTCCAAAATTCAAAGACCAGGGGTCAATCCACACAAACAAAATCCAATGTGCCTGGGATGAAGGGTGAAAATGATTAACCATCACACCTTTCTCTCTCTCTCAACCTTCTTCAGATTCCCTCCAGCATAAACATGAACCACCTTGACATTGCAACTGTACCTCTTTGTACACAGAGAAATAATTGTGTGGCTGAGGTCTGTTAATTGCAAATGGAAAGTCACCACTTTAGGTAGTTGAGATGTGTGCACACAGTATCCATTTGTTAACACAACGCTGCACAAATCACTGCCGTTAATGGGTCGGAAAGAGGCAGTCTACAATAAATGGGGCTTTCGGCTCTCAACCCAAAACCCGCTTGAGCTAGCCTATTTACATTTGACACTCCCATCTTCCTAGCACAGCTGTAAGAGCCCAGCAACAACAGCAGTCTGTGAAAGCAAGCAAAGCATGAGTCTCCTGCTACAATGCTTGTCCATTGCAGTCCCATCATAACAGCTTTCAACAGTATATGGTTGTGTATGCAGTGCTTTTTTAATCTGGGGTAGAGAAGGGCAACTAAAATGCAACTCTGTAAGGAAAGATTACCCTGTTTGATTCTTTTCCACTTAGGGGCTATAAGGGCATATGAACGGTGTGGAGAAATGCATATGAATCCCCCCTCTGGGATCGTCAAAGAATGAATGTGGGAAGATGCACAACAGATAAAATGAAGTACTTCACACAGTGCATAGTTCACTCATGGATTTGCTACCACAAGGAGTAATAATGGCCACAAGTTTGGAAAGCTTTAAAAGGGGATTAAATAAATTCATGGAAGATAGGACTGTAAAAACTACTAGTTATGATGCCTATATTGCTTCCTGTATCAGATGCAATGTACCTCTAAATACCAACTGATAGGGATCACAAGCCAGATTGTGCTATTGTGCTCGCTCAGTGGCTTTCTTGAGGCATCTGGGTAGCCACTGTGAGGACAAGATGATGGACCAGAAAGGCCTTTGATTTGATCCAGGAAGGGACTTTTATGTTCTTAGAGGTTTCAGAAATGAATGAAAATGCATTGATTATTATCCTCCAAATTAAGACAATCTGTAGCCAATGTCTCTGAATTGGTTGGTTTTTATGATGGAAATGTTTCCAAACCTGAAAAATTGTGGCCATTTAAATTAACGTATGTGGAAGCCTGTGTTCTTGACTATGATCGCAGATGTGAGATTTCTGTAGTGGGTATGAATAATTGTAGGTGCTTGCTTTTCCAACATACAGGATGTGACATCCAGCGAATTTGCATCCTGTAACACATATAACATTGTCAAACTTTTCAGCTAATATCCTGTTTGGCTAATCATTCTGCTTTAGAAGATGTCTCAGTTTTGCTAGGTTCACTTTGCAAAACACAACAGTTGGATTTGCAGTATACAACAATGTCCACTGAGCACCTGTCCTATGCAAATAACTGT